ATTTGTAATGAGGACCGGCAATATCGTTAGGACGAGTGCATTCATCATTACTAGAGCGCCTCTCATCGTAAGAAGGAGATTCAGGTCTCTCAGAATCGGGATTCATCGGAGAAAAATGAAAAATTCAAGATCCGGCGAAGAAGGGTTTTGTGAAGAAAAGTAGAGAGAGGTTTTGATTAAAGCACAAAAGTAAAAGAAGAGAGTAATGGTGAAAAGAAGTTACCTCAAGCTAATGATGAAACCGCCTCGGAAGTTGTGTGGGAAGTGGGAAGGTTTTTTTCCCGTTTTAATAGTAATTAATCAATATACGGTCATAATGATGACAGATGTCACTCGGTTAAAAATGGCTAGTGCCGAAATTAAAGGAGTGATGAGATTTTCGGCGGGAAATCAGAAAGATTCTCGAGCGCAATCTTTGGCCACTTGAGCATTTAAAGTCCTCCGAATTGGAATAGCACTTCGAAGAACTTGGGGGGCTAATTGTTGGTGTCGGATCCCGCACCAGAAGTACGAGACCAACCAAAGATTGCCACGTGGTCAAGATAATGGCCCTTAAAAGATGAAGCCCATTGGACCCATGAGCCGAAGGAACGGTCGAAGTGGTGACAATCCGAAGTGACTGCATTGTGACATGAGTTCGATGTAGAAGACACGGGTAAGTCGGTTCAAGGATGCTTGGGCCAAAAGGCGAAGCCCATGAAGATCAGAGTCAACTCAAATTCAAACGTTGAGCATTAAAGCCGAAGATCAAAACGGACACATTTAAGAGAGAATAATTACACTTAATTAGCCACTTTAAATGTCGTTTCTCTATGTATAAATATAAAGGCCAATGGCTATGTAATGGGGATCTTCCTCTCAAGAAAGAAATACTATAGCAATTTTCGTAGCAATTTAGAAGTTTTTACCTATTCATTTTTGTCCCTCAAGAATAATCTTTCCTACTTAATAAAATACTTGAGTGTGTGAATCCGACATCCACAATCATTAACCCAAAGACAAGATCTTGCTCTCTTCGATCTTTAAGTGTCTTTGCCTCCGTGGTGAATGGTCGTAGCATTTCTAGCTCAGCTACAAGTGATCTATACTTCCCAAAGTGAGTATTGAAATCACTTTCATCTTGAGATAGACTCCCTAGAGCCTTCTTGATCTCATAGACCCGAGTCAAGTTTGATTCATTTCCGAACACATTCATAAGAGTATCCCATAGCTCTTTAGATGTTTCGCAATATGAGTATCCTTCTAAGATTGAAGCCTCAAGTGAGCAATGTAAAGCACTTAGGACGTTCAAATCATCTTGTTTCCAAGTGTCTTTATCCAAGTTCTCATCAATTGCTTTCAACTCTTCAAAGGTAACCTCTATGTGTTTCGTGAGCTTTCTTCCCCCTAACACATTCGTTGTGGTTCTCTTCCACAAAAGATAATTTTTACCATTCAACACCACTGGAAATTTCAGCTCCTTGTACTTCTCACTCGTCTTGTGAGCCGTAAGAGACATTTTAACCCTCTAAGCTTAGAAATTTCAACCAAAGATGTGACCTTTTCCCGATCAAAACCCAAAACCAGAAGCTACAACCTATGTCACGTCCCTCAACCAGAAGATTCCCAACCTAATCAAGATAAAGTTCGCACCTTTAACTGAAGAACCAACAGAAACAACACAGATTGCTTCGCCGGAACACCCAACGTGACGCGAGCTCTTCTTTGTCGAGACTTATTTGAGTAGCGTACACCAGAGTCTTAAAGCTTCCGCCTTTAGACCTTCACTGTCACCTAAAAGCTTCCCACAGATTGAATCTTCGATTTAGACAAGAAAACTAACCCAGAAGATATGAACGCGCTTCCGCACAAAAGTATAGAACACAACCGAGAGAAAAGAGAAGAAGATTAAAGAAGAAGATTAAAGAGTAAAGATTTAAGTTTTAAGAACCCGCTCTGATACCATGATAATATTTGAAGATTAAGTTGGAAGAATAGGAAGAACCATGATGAGAGAAAGAAGATGTATTAGATTGATAAGAGTTAGGGTTACAAATGGAGGCACACTTTAGTACATATAGAGAACAAACTCTAGGTCTAAGGGGGTGTGTACAAAGACAATCATACCCTCTCTTAGCCTTGTAACCCGAGTAACCCAAGTAACCTGTAACCCGAGTAACCCAAGTAACCTGTAACCCGAGTAACCCAAGTAACCTACATTTAACCCTTAACTATGACTTAGTTAGTGTTAAATGTCTTCTTGATTAACAACACATCCTTGAAAAATATTCTCCAACTTGTAGGGATAATACTCTTTTTCCCTAAGCTTGGTTTTGTCCCACGTGGTTTTCCAAGCTTAGGTTTTTAATGAGGTTATTCATACAAGTGCCAAGTTTATACACAATTGGGCATTGTAATATAAACTTGAGGGGGAGTGTTAATCAAGAAGACATTTAACACTAACTAAGTCATAGTTAAGAGTTAAATGTAGGTTACTTGGGTTACTCGGGTTACATGTTACTTGGGTTACTCGGGTTACAAGGCTGAATGAGGGTGCTGTTGGTCTTTGTGCACAACCCATCTCAGACCTAGATTATGTTCTCTATATAAACGTGTGTGCCTCCTCATTGTGTTTGACACATCTTTTTTTTCATCAATACATTTCTGCTTCTCTCCAATCTTAAATCATGGTTTCATCAATCTTTCCTACTTAAATATTAACATTTGATTCCAAGTATCATTTGCATTTTCTTGAATTAACCAGAACTTAAAGATAAAGCTTCCTCCCAAAGTATGCAAATGGTGAAATATGTGCCTTAGCTAAGGTTTCTTCCAGGGGTGAATTACCTGACATCATAGCTCCATTTAAGGCCTGTTCCACTAATCTCTCTTGCCACTTGTTTCCGCTGCTAACAATGATTGGAGCATTTTGGATCGCTAAATAACTCTGTGTCCACGAAAACATCCATCTTTGAGTCTTTTTTAAGCCTTTATGCTGATGACACTGTTGTTTTTTGGAGATCTCGTCTCCAATTTTGTATTTACTAAAGATAAAATATTGTGAAACACCTTTTGATTCTCGTCGTTGAAGATACCGAGTCTCACGCCCACTTGCAACAACTGACCTAGGCTTCGAATGGGAGACGGAGAAAAAGCAGTTCTTCTGCATATGTGGGTGAAGCGTTTTTATTTTGCTATTCAAGCAATTTGAATAAACTGTACGTTTGGTTCAATTAAAATAATAAAATAATAGCAATCAAGTTGCAGACCAAAATTCATGAAGTTTTTTCTTGATCCGCTTACTACAGTAGAACCACCACAATTATGATGGATTTGTGGTGCATCCTCTTTTGTTATTAATTATTTATTATTATTTTTTTGAAACAAATCCAAAAACTTTGAAAATATTGAGTTACATAATTTTTAATAACAACACAATGAATAATAAAGGAAAAAAAGATAGTGATTAGAAAATTTTGTCTTACAATAATTAATGAGACATAAGATAGTGATTTTACTTTATAAAATTATACAAACTAAAAATGTTATCTGGGCGAAAAAACCTGGAACCAAAGCGAACTGACCCTAAATATTTCAAATCGAACCGAACCTAGAAACGAAATACCCAAACAAATCTTAAATTTAAATTTATATATTTGAACAACCATAACAAAACCGATCTGAACCAAACTACGAATTGAATAGATACCCAATATATAATTATATATCCAAAATGTTAATTATATATAGATTTGATATAACCCAATTATTTGAAATTACAATTATAAACTCGAAACAAAGTCTATAAATATTTTTACATAGAAATTTGAAACAATTACATGTTTTTAAAAAAAAAAAAAAAACAATACAATAATTTTATTTTAATATAATTTATCATGGTATGTATAATATTTAATTTAAAATTAATATTTTTATAATAGAAATATTTCACTCGCATCGTATGATCCATTTTCACCATTCAACGCATATTAAAAGCGTTCGAACCGCTAGATCCGCTTTTGTACCGCTAGATCTGCTTGATCCGCTTTTGTTCTGCTTGATACGCTTCATCCGCTTGATCCGCTCCGCCCGATACGCTTTCTCCATTCGGAGCCCTAGTCTTGCGCCTCTCATATTTTCATGATTTTCCAAAAGAAAAAACACAACATCTCTCCCTCTCCTTTCTTCTTAAAATTGTAAGTGTCTCAAGAGTATAACATAGAGAAATTATTTTCAAAATTTCGTCGCTTAACAATTAAAATTGCCACCATTTATTATTTTTAATGTTCACATTGGTTCTTACCACTACAAATTAATTACCACATTTTTACCGGTTGAATTCATATGTTTTATATAGTATTGTTGTAAACAAAATTTCAAAAACAAAATAATTTTAGAAGATTATCCAGTTATCCATTTTTTATTTATATATTTTAAATATAAAATTCCCAATAAAATAAAAAAATTAAAATGATAGAAAATAATTAAGACATTATAGTTTAGTACTAAATCCACACAACGCGTGGGGTCGATTTCTGGTATAGAAGAAAGCCACGCACATCATCCATTTGGGAGCATTTTGCAAAGTAAATGTTGCTACCGTCATTTTTTTGCCAATTTATCTATTGTTGATTTTCTACACACTAAGCCAATGTTATTAGTTTGTGATTTAAATACTGTTTTGATTACTTTAGTAAAATCATAGAAAGTAAATAAATGGTAGACTCTAAACGAGTAATAGAGAGTTTTCTATAATCTTATTAATTAGTTTTTCCATAATCTTGTAAAGTTTTTCAAACAATCTCTCTATTTTGTTAATAATTTTCATGACTTTATTTTCTAAATAAAAATGTATAAAATCATAAACCAATAACATAATAATTTAATTCATTAACAATCGTAAATTCTTTTGATTTAGTTGAATAACACAAAAAGTTTATTGACTTTACACAATTTTGAATCCAATAATTTATGAAGATTTTAGAAAACTTTTTACAAATCAAAAACTAATAACACTAGACTTTAATAGAATTTTATAAAATCTTGAATGTGTCACATTGTCATTTATGGTAAGTAGTATCCAAAATAATAAGCTTAAATAGAGGATCCTCACCATCAACTTCCACTCATCATCACAACTTCAACTTTTCAATACTCAGATTAACAATGACGATTTTCTCCACATTACATCTTCTCTTCTTCTCCTTCATCATAGCCACATGTATACATAAAACATTTCCAACATTTTCTGATTACTACTTTGATTTAATAATTTATCTCATATAAGATTTTTGTTTTCTATCTAATAATTTATTTTGAATTGTATATTCTTTCAAGGTACAATTTCCATTGTCTCCGGCACCGTCTTCACTTTATCGAACCGCTGCAGCTTCACCGTCTGGCCCGGAATCCTAACCGCAAAATCAAGACTAATCGGCGACGGCGGATTTGCCTTACCTTCAGGATCTTCTGTTAACTTAACCGTTTCTCCAGGTTGGTCCGGTCGATTCTGGGGTCGAACGGGTTGCAACTTCGACGCCTCGGGTTCCGAAAAATGCACCACCGGAGACTGCGGCGGCAAGTTAAAATGCGCCGGCGCAGAAGGAGCTCCACCAACCACACTAGCCGAATTCAGAATCGGCTCCTCCGGAAAGGAATACGCCGTACAAGATTCCTACGACGTGAGCCTCGTCGACGGTTACAACGTTCAGATGAAAATCAATCCACAAGGTGGCTAAGGCAATCGTAAAACCGCGGGATGTGTTTCGGACGTGAACGCTATTTGTCCGAACGAGCTACACGTTACGGACTCGAAGGGTGTTGTGGCATGTAAGAGTGCTTGTGAGGCTTATCAACAATCGTGAAACCCTCATTAAATGTAAAATATGATACAGAGAAAGCTTAAATACTAAGAGAGATAACCTACTATAAACATGATAGATAACCAAAGATAACCGCACTATATTCAACACTAAACAGGAGAGATATAATCTCTAATACGCCCCCGCAAGATGGAAGTATGACATCTTGGATTTGAAAATTTATGTGCTCAAAAAGACTTTTATGAGAAAGCAACAGTCTCATTTTCTTCCATGTAGAAAGACTTGACACCTTCATAAACTGGATTATAGAGAAATGAATCACATGTCGTCCTCTTCTTCAATAGCCATGAGAACTTGAGAGATCTTATTTGCCGTGAGTGGCTTGAATCCAAGATGAGCTTGATAAAACTGTTAAGTATCACAAGTGAAGAATACTGCTCAAAGAACCTTGAAGTCTCCATGAGTTTGTAGCCAAGTAACATCACAAACCAGCCATAGGAGTAGCAAGCCGTAGACAAGTAAAGGGCATCGTCACTTTTAACCCAAACATTCTCTTACCAAAACCATGTCCACAAAATAATTCTGCTACTAAAATCTTGAGGATGATGATTTTATAGAGGCCATAGCAATGATCCAAAGAGGAACCAATTGTTCTTAATTTCATAGTACCACCAGAATGTGATCCGAAATTGTAAACAATGGAGTCGGCTTGTCCGTTCTGTGAATCCCACTTACATAAGAAAGCTTGTCGTGAACAAATGATGATTGTAGAAAGAATTGCAGAGTCTGTACATCAATCACAATGGCATGGAAACAAAACCAGCTATAGGAGGAGCTATCACTTGCAATCCTCCAAAGTTCAGCAAAAACATGACAACAATGTCATAATCCATGGCGATTAGAAGTAGAAAGTCATAGCAAACTTCAAGAATGGTTGGTAATGTTGAGACCATTTCCAATGAAGAAGCTTTCTCGCTAACACGGCAAAACACAAGAAGATCAACCACAGATGCAGCTAGGTCGAAGCATCATGTATCAATCATCAATATAATAGTTCTGCCTAAACCGTTCTAACTGAAGCTCAACATCATCACCAACGAAGACAATTCCAGAATCTACAAATATCATTCCAGAAGCTAAATTCATACTGAGAAATGGCAGTATCCATGAACATATAACATCAAACATGAACCAGAGTATGAATGACTTTCCGGTGGTCACGTAAGAGATCCAAAAATGTAACCATTTAGCAGAATCATGAGCTGGAATGAGCATCAGCTGAGAAGATATCACCATTATACCAAATCTCAAACGCAGATCGACTGAAACTGATGAAATCAAGCTCAATCTAGAAGCTGAGATAGTCAAATCGAATAAGAGAAACTGAAATTGAGCAATTGAAGCTCAAATCGAGATATACGAAGCTCGCTTTTGACGAAACAGAGCTCGATTCGAAGACAAACACGATCAATATTGATGAATCAATCGTATGATAAAAGATCAATCTGATCCAGAAAAAATAGTCGAATGTGACAATGCGATCAACTTGATCGGAATGTAGACGAAGCAATGAAAACGATATAACAGAATCACGATCGATTTTGATGAAACGATCGGAAGAAAACAGATCAAGATCGAAGATTAATGATCAAGATCGATGATAACACGATCAATTATGATCGGAAAGAAGATGAACACGATCAACTTTGATCGGAAACAGAAATTGATTAAAGAAAAAAAAAAAATAACAACCGGAATCGAAACAAGATTAAGATTTCGCCGGTGAAGAAACAGATCGAAGAACAAAAAAAAACGAAGAAACAGATCGGAGAAGACGATGGATTGATCGGAAAAATCAATTAGTCGGAGATATAAACCGATCAAGCGATAAGAAATCAAACGGAGGACCAAAATCTCAAAGAAAATCGAGTGACGAATTGAAAAAGAACAACAATGAAATCAGAGAATCGAATTAAGCGGAAGAAGTGAATGAAGGTTGGGGAATTTGCTCTGATACCATTTCAGATCTAACAAACTTTACTTTTCAATTATGATTTTACTTCATTCAATCGTAAAAGATGTACAAAGAAAACCTTAAATACTAAGACTCTTAACCAAAGTTGATAACCAAGCTATACATAAATTACTAAACCAACTAAACCAATCTAGTGATATCTAATACTAACGCGATCAACTCTGAACCAGAAGAAATAGTCGATTGCGACTATGATAAACGCGATCAACTTGATCGGAATGAAAACGAAGAACAATGAATACGATATAACAGAATCACGATCGATTGTGATGAAATGATCGGAAGAAAAAACAGATAAGATCGATGATTGATGATCAAGATCGATGATAACAAGACCAATGATTATCAGAATGAAGATGAACACGATCAGCTTTGATCGGAAACAAAGATAGATGAAAGAAAATAAAATAACAACCGGAATCGAAACAAGATTTCGCCGGTGAAGAAACACGAAATCGAACACGATCAACGCGATCGGAATGTAACACGATCGGAAAAGCAAGAAAACGAAGAAGAAAGTAGAAAATCTCCGATGAAAATGTCGAGAATGAATCGGAGAAAAAGATGATGATAGATGCAAGAGGTATGAACAAAGAATGAAAGATGATTTGAGCTTGCGGAAGAAGAATGAAGTTTGACGAAGCAAAGCTTGAAGAAGAAAAAAATTGCTCTGATACCATATCAACAATCGTGAAACCCTCATTAAATGTAAAATATGATACAGAGAAAGCTTAAATACTAAGAGAGATAACCTACTATAAACATGATAGATAACCAAAGATAACCGCACTATATTCAACACTAAACAGGAGAGATATAATCTCTAATAAGGCTTTTAACAAACCGGAGTATTGTTGCACCGGCGCTTTCAATAGACCGGAGACTTGTCCGCCGAAGAAATACTCGAAGATATTCAAAGGAGCTTGTCCCACTGCGAATAGCTATGTATACAATTATGCTTCGAGTAGATTTACTTGTAATAATATGCCAATTACGTTATCAGTTTCTGTTCTTAGGCATAATAGCCTTCCTTATTCTTTTATCAATGAATAAAGAATAAATCAGTTTTTAACATAGTTTTATGTTTTTTCCTTTACAAAAAAACTTAATTAATGCCATGTTTTTATAACAAATAATACACATAGCCATTATATTATCAACGAGGTAGACAAATTTAATCAGTGTTTCTAAAATAAGATGAAGGTAACTTATTGTTTTTTTTTTTTTTTTTTAACGGCAAATCAATTATATTATATCATAAAAATGTTACGTCATACATGATACATGAACCATTAAAATACAACCATTGAATAAAATAAAGGAAATTGAACACAATTTCGATGAAGAAGTGGAAGTAACCCTGCTTTCCAAACGAAAGCCTTATAGGCAACAGATGACATCTGTTAAGTCCCCTCTTCATATACTCGTAAAAGGCTAACATCTTGTAGATGAAATTCCCAAATGCTTTCCGCATCACTTTGAATAAACGAACACACTGATATATTGCTTGAAATGGTTCTGAATCATGTCTTTTATAACGCCTTATCCATCGTTGTCGGTTAGTGACCATGATTTGCTCTTCCATAAAACCTGAGTAATCCAATTGAGGGATAATATGGACATCACCATCATCGGACAGTATCCATGACCAGAGGATGTTATCGTGAATGCCACTTCCTTCAATCAGGAGGATTTGTCTATTAATTCCCGGATCAAATACCCAAATGACTTCTCCAAACCATAGATTAGGAGAAACTTCATCGGTTGACAACCGGAGATGACGACGGTGATAAGGATCACCGGAAACAAACTTCTTCCGAAAGAAGAGAAAAATAAAGCAATATTGAATAGAAAACTTCATAGCTTATTGTTTTTTGTTTTATAAAGCTTATTACATATCAAATTATATTTGAGTAAATCGTTTTTTTTCTAAATTTCTTTCATAGCAAATTTTAAACCAAATCAATAATAATTTCATCTCTAATTGTCTAATGTATATCTATGCATGCGGGTAAATAAATCTTCAATATGTTTACTTTAAGAATAAAAGATATGGTAATTGAAGTACAAAATCTTGTTTTTTTTTGCTTTGCTGTCAACAATTTACCATTAAATCAAAGATTTCATCAATTTATGAAATGTTCTTTTTTGATGACACTTTATCTACTACCAAACACAAAATGATCATCTATACTATCAAAATGATCCTAGTAAGAATAATTTTGGAGTCAGACATGTATTAGGACTATTCTTTAGTTAGCCTAAACTTAAATGGCCACTTTAACATAAAGTAAAAATCTCTGCATCTATTTTATCAAAGACAAGTTTTCGAATTTGCTTTGAGAGAAGAAATCCCAAGTTCAGATCTTGATCTAAAAATCTTTCAATTGTAAAGCTTATGTTGATTTAGTGGTTTATCAAATGATGTATTATATATAACATATCAATAAATCGAATGCTGGAAAAAAAAAAGAACAATAAATCGAATAGGGGATGAAGAAAATATCACGACAAACTCATTATTTCCCACATCCTAATTTTATCACTAAAGTGGTAAAAACAACCTGAACCTTATGGGTCCCGAGTGCTGTTTAGTCTAGGTTTTGGTCTGAGATCCTGGTAAAAAAAAAAAGGAAAAAAAAAGTTTTTTTTTTTTTATCAACAGCTTTTAATTAAAATTCAAAAGAACCCTGGGGACTGTTGTTTACATAAGTGATATGATGCGGTTCGGTACGAACATTTCGTGCCAAATTATCCGCTTTTACATTTGCATTACGAAAAATTAAAGATAAAGAGAAGCTTGAAAATTTCTCCTTGTCGCTCTTGATTTATTCCAAATATGCTGAAAAAGCCGGCCATTCGGTTGGGGAAGACACCATCT